CATGATCCACAACTAGCTGAAAGGGAAGCATGGAAATGAAATCTTTATTCCGGATGGCTGCCCATTCAAGAGTTCTTCTACCAAAGGGAAAAGGAAGAGTAGATGTTGAAGGATAAGTATCAGACTTTGTCATAGTCCACAACCCACTGGAACCCAAATATCCATGCACAGCCTTCTTCCCACACACTTACTGCCTCTCTGGGGGTGAGTGGAGAATCCTACTGGCTGGGAACTGCAGGAATTCTCTGCCCTGGCAGTAGGGGACTTCAGCCCAACTTATAATTCCCAGTTCGGCTCTCTGGAAGGAACTCCCTTGTCTGTTATCCTCTGTATCCTTTAAGGAAGTTATTCCTTGTCCATTAACATTCATGGCTACATGAAGTCGCCATCAGAGAGGATAATTTTGGGGGGCTGCACAGTTCTCACAGCCCACTTATTGATAGATCAGGTTTGGGGACCTAAGATTATTCTAGGGGTTGAATAATCATAGACTTTTGACCAGGTTTGTGGTTTCTTTGGCACTACAATCCCCTCAAGCCTTTAGAAGGTTCCCAGTCTGATAGCTTCCCTTCAGTCCCTCACGCAAGTAATCACAGCCAAAGAGTTGTCAAGACAATGTTCTAGGTTCAGGAGACAGGAAACAGATCCCATCAAATTATTTTATGCAGAGGAAAAGTTTATACCAGAAAATTGGGGGCTAGCAAAATAATTGGGAGGGCTGAAGGACATCGCCAGAAAACTGGCCTTCAGGGAAGCTGCTGCTTCCTCAGTCAGAAAGGTGAGGAATTGGGAGGCCACCCCAACTGGGTGCTGGTAACTGAAAGCGCACACCTCCGAGGCGGTAATCTTGTGGCTGGTAGGTTCTTACTACCACAGCAACAAGGATCCCTGGAACCCCACGAAGCAAGTAACTGGGCACTGAAACACTGGTCTGGCTTCTACTTCTGCACCTGCCTCTCAATTCCCATGGAGTTGTTGACTAGTCACTAGAATACTGATGCAAAAAAAAAAAAAAAAAAAAAAAAGTCCCTGCAGTAGTACTGGCAAATTGCAGTAGAGCAGCAGGAAGATTCCTTCTGCTTCTCCGCCACCTTCTGAATCTAGTACAATGCTTCTAATTGGAGAAGCATAATTCACACCTTTGCAGCCTCCACCAAGAGGTTGGAATGGATACTTGTCCACCACAACTGTTGCATTCTAAGGCTTGAGTCTTTTAAAGTTTACTTATTTTTCAGACACACACACACACACACACACACACACACACTTACACACAGTATGAGCAGGGAAGGGGCAGAGAGAGAGAGAGGGAGACACAGAATCTCAAGCAGGCTCCAGGCTCTGAGCTGTCAACACAGAGCCTGACTTGAGGCTCGAACTCACAAACCACGAGATAACGACCTGAGCCGAAGTCAGATGCTTAACCGACTGAGCCACCTAGGCACCCCATTGAGTCTTATTTTCCGACTTTTCTGTTCTACCTACGTCCCTCTCTTTCTCCTTATGAGTAACTAGCTTGACGCCATCTAAAATAATCAGCTCGAGAGGGAAGGCCATACCCTTCATCTCATTTTCATCTCTGAACTGGATCCCATTTTGTAGCCAGTCTCTTAATGAGGGTATTTCACCAAAGCTCAGGAACACCCAACATCTCCTGTGAAGGTTGCCTGCTTCAGCATGTAGGGCAGAAAAGTTTTTTCTTTTTGTTTTTGTTTTTTCAATCCTCGGAGCCCCAAATTACCAAGGCTTTCATCATTTTGGCCTCTGGGGTACAGGCAGAGTGCCTCACACAGAGGCGTGTTCCTTTCTGACGCTTCTTCCAAAATCTCTATCTCTAGCCTAAGTTCCTTTCCTATTTATAAGTAACGTTGCTGAATGTGGCAAGAAGCCACTAGCACAACAGTTTTCTGAATTTGTCCACCATTTCACCTTGGAGCCACTGATCAGGAGGTAAAATTTTTGCCTTCCAAGTTATCACAGTCATAACAAGGGTCACCAGCCTCCCAGTTTGCAATCTGACCTCACCGCCCACTTTCTAACCACTAAGCCACTTAAATCCCAGAACTCAAGCGCATCATTTTTCAGGTACCGAATTCTGCATAAACAGGATACAAGTTAGTCTGTTGTTACAGAGATCCAAAACTACTATGGCTTAAATAATGCAGAGGTTCACTTATGTCTCACTTTAAAGCCCAGGGCAGTGACCCAGGGTCTTTGGGTGCCCACATGGTGTCAGGAAACCCTAGACCAATTTTCTCATTTTGCTCTACCCTCCTCTAACCATAGCTTCCAGTTGATGGTCCAGAATTGTTGCTTCAGCACCCACCCTCAAGTCCACATTTCAGCAAGTGGGAAGATGGTGGGTAGGCTTTCCCCTAATATTTGTGGAGCCTAGAGCAATAATGTGAATGTAGGACCACATAATTATTATATCAAGTTATCAAGCTGAGAAACCATGAAATATTCATTGTCTTCCTTCCTTCACAAATACAACTTCCTGGAAAACCAAGTTTAAATTTATGATATGGGTTCTACTCTAGAACTTGGAGACAGGGGGAGAATTGGCCTGCCGCCTACCTCCTTTCTCTTCCTGTCTCCTTCCCACACACAGGGCCACATGCAAATGCTTGGGGACACCCATCCTGTACACAAACTCCATCCACACGCCACACAAACAGTGGTCCCAGGGTGTGCACACAGACAACATGATCCACCCTTGGGGCACGAACCTGGGAAAGAGACCGTGCCGACTTTGTAGCCTGTTGGACAAGGAGTTCTGAATTCTGAATACCCAGAGTATGTCCTATAAAGAAGGGGCACATCCTCTTTGCCCTGAGATCCCTTACCCCATGAGCAAGGGTGGATCAGGGCCCAGGACAGTGGCCCTCTCGCCGAGGTGAGGGAAAGGGAAGTCAATGGCACCTCCCCTCTTTCACAGATCTGAACCCAAACTTAACCATAAGTGGCCAGAACTTAGTCACTCAGCCTCATCTACCGGCAAGGGAAGTTGAGAAATGTGACAACTTATTTTGGGAGAGAGAAAGAGTACGTGCGCATGCACACTGGGACGGGCAGAGAGAGAGGGAGGGAGAATCCCAAGCAGGCTCTGCACTGTCAGTGCAGAGCCCCACCTGGGTCTAGTTCATGGGGCTCCATCTCATGAACTATAAGATCATGAGTGACCTGAGCCTAAACCAAGAGTCAGACCCTTAACCCACTGAGCCACCCACACACCCCCCCCCCGCCCAGAGATGCTTTTACTGGCTGCAAAGGAAGAGAATAAGATTGGGAGTAAGCTAGCAATCTCTGCCACAGACACATGCCTTTTCACAAATCACACTTTTGTTTAGACAAGTGAGTTCTTCACAATCTGCTTTCAGAGAGGTGAGTTTGGAGGCAAGACAATACTGTCAGATATAATTGACGGTCAAAATAATTGCACACCTGAGCATTTTTCAATGGGCAGCCAGTATGCAATATGCCAGCTCTGAAATTTTGTCTAATTTTCAGATCAATCAGGAAGAACCGAATGAATTGTTTTCAATTCAAAGGATATAGTATAATTATGACATTCAATAAAACAATTTTAATCTTAAACCCTTTGAATGAATTGCATTTTAAACAAAAACTAAAAGTTAAAACCTAACCCACATTTGGCAGACTTTTTTCCAGAAATATGCAGCCACTACCAAATGTACACCTACCAATCCAAAAAGAGCAAAAATCAGTTCTGGCATTGTTTTCCCCTGGCCTATTCATATATGAGAATAACACAAAACTCACCAAAAACTAAGCAGACATATCTTCCACATGGCAAGATTTTAACCAGGTACAGAGTAACTGCAATGTAACATTACATTGTAATGATGGAATATTAATGGATAAGTGTAACAGTGTAACAATGTAACAACCTATAGTTGTCTCCCAATATCCATTTGCTTCATCTTCCATAGGAATAGGGTTGTTAGGGGCACCTGGGTGGCTCAGTGGGTTAAGCGTCCGACTTCGACTCAGGTCATGATCTTGCGATTCGTGGGTTTGAGCCCCACATCGGGCTCTGTGCTGACAGCTCGGAGCCTGAAGCCTGCTTCAGATACTGTGTCTCCCCCTCTCTCTGTCCCTCCTATGCTCATGCTCTGTCTCTGTCTCTTAATAATAAACATTTTTAAAAAAAAATTTTTTTTCAAGGAATAGGTTTGTTACACACTTTTACACATTTTGCAACATCTCCCAGCCTCCCTTGTCACCAGCCAGGTGTAGCCATGTCTAAGTTCTGAACATGAGTGGAAGAGATGTGTTAACTTCCAGGTCTTGCGCCTTCTTGGCCCCTTCTTCCCACCAGCTGAGAGAAAGCAAACACATCAGCCTTGGAGCCAGAAGTGGAAGAAGCGCCTGTTGAGGCTGGCAGACCAGTCCTCACAGCTCAGAATTGCCTACTTCTGTGCTATAAAATGGGAGAAAAATAAACTTCTACCTTTTTTAAGCCATTTATTGGAGGGAGTGGGAGTGTCTCTAAACTCCAGCTACTCGGCCTGTCGTCTAGTCCATCCCCTACCATTCAGAGCGGTGCCTCGTAACACAGAACTTGGCTTCAGGAATCAGCAAATCATCCTCCAGGTGAGGGCATCACTCGGCTCTTGCAAGATTCTGGAATGGAATAGGATAGGGTGTCTGTTTAATTTGTTTTTTCTCCTCATCATGTAAAGAGGCAGAAATGCTTTTAAAACTCAAGTAGAGAAGCTTTATCTTCTGACATGTCCTTTGTTAGTTATTTTGACAGCAATGAGGACATGTGCAAAAGATAGATTTTTAAAATAAGATGGACCCCAAATTGCTTCTGCAGTACAGCTGTGCCTGCTTTCACTGGCCCAGAAGCTGGGCATGTGACATGCCCCATTTTCACTACTGCCTTACTAAGTATGAAGGAAAGTGTTTAGACTTTTTAAATCTTCCCAGAAGCCAGGACTACGATCTCAGTTCCCTTTTTGATTTCTTTACAGGGCCACAGTAGAGGGCAATGTCTTCTCGTTGCTCTGACGCCAGCACAGTGACCGAGACATGCTGGCTAAGTCTCATATTCTGTTGTTGTCGCTTACGATCATGTGTAGTTCATTACATATGTAGAGTTGTTTCCTTGCCTTAATAAACACACTTGTTTTTATCGTGTTGAGCCATATGTACTTTTATGAGCCATCTCAACATCTTTTTTGGAGCAAGAAATGTGAATATATTAGTGTACCTGATATTTCAGAGAACACTTGTACATCTCATTTGATCCTGACGACAGTCTCATGAGGGGAGAATTATCCCCCTGTGATAAAGGAGGACACTGAGACAGGGGTGAACTGACTCGTCCAAGGTCACACTGAGAGTGAGTGACAGAGGGACATACCACACTTTCACTGGCTGCCTCTGTTAAGTGACCAGGGTAGAGCCTCTGTGTTCTAAGGTGTTTACCAGGTTTCATTTAAATCGGCTATGAGAGCACCTGGCTGGCTTAGTCGGCAGAGCAGGATCTCAGGGTTGTAAATTTGAGCCCCACACTGAGTGTAGAGATTACTTAAAAATAAAATCTTAGGGGCGCCTGGGTGGCTCAGTCGGTTGAGCGTCTGACTTCGGCTCAGGTAGTGATCTCGCGGTCTGTGAGTCCGAGCCCCTCGTCGGGCCCTGTGCTGACAGCTCAGAGCCTGGAGCCTGCTTCAGAGTCTATGTCTCCCTCTCTCTCTGCCCCTCCACCGCTCATGCTCTGTCTCTCTCTGTCAAAAAGAAATAAACATTAAAAAAATAATACATAAAATAAAATAAAGTAAAATAAAATAAAATCTTAGGGGCGCCTGGGTGGCTCAGTCGGCTAAGCGTCCGACTTCAGCTCAGGTCATGATCTCACAGTTTGTGGGTTCGAGCCCTGCATCAGGCTCTGCGCTGACAGCTCAGAGCCTGGAGCCTGCTTCAGATTCTGTGTCTCCTTCTCTCTCTGCCCCTCCCCCACTCACACTCTGTGTGTGTGTCTCTCTCTCTCAGAAATAAACATTAAAAAAATAATAAAAATAAAATAAATTGGCTGTCCTTTAAAGAACAAAAGAAAAGTCTCCTAGAAAGTATTGTTGAAATAGTCACACTGATTTCTGTGACTCTAAGTAATACAAAGTGTGACCCTTCAGGAAATGTCAGAAATATAAAAAGGATTAAAACAAATCTGTATTCATCTGTGAAGGGTTAAAATGTACGACCTCAAAGAGAAAACAAACAGTGCCTGGTGGTTTGGTCTTGGCAAAATAGGAAAAATATAAATTGATTAAACTTATTTTAATGGGTATTTACCTGCGATTTGTCTCAAGTCCAGGTGTAATCTAGGTTCATTATCTTGCCCCTTCTGTCTGAGAACGGTGAGTGCTGAGCACAGGTCTGGCAGGCTGAGAGAAAAGGAATTAGGAAGGGAAACTCCAGAGCCAGGAAACCCAATCCTGCACATCTACAAGGACCCAGTGTAGCTGCCGACTCAAGAAGGAACAACATACGGACAGTGGCTAAGCCCAACAAAGAGACACAGACGTAGGCAGTGGGGGAAGATTCTCGAAGTCTGGCTCTGGTTTGGTTCCCCCCCCCACCCCACCCCCGCCCTGAGCTGCAGAGCAAAGTGCTCCTGCTGCTCCTGCTTCATTCTGACCCAGGGCTTCCTCCGGGCCTAAGGGTGCCTTTTGGCAGGAGCTCCCCTAATCTGCCAGAGTATTTTGCCAGCCCCGCTGTTTCCCACCTTGTAGCACCAGAGAAGAGGGACCCGTTAATCCAGTGGGATCACTGCAGATCACCTAGGCCTCTGTGAGATACTGGGAGCTGTCACATCTTTCTCAAATCCCTTTGCCTCCGTAGAAATCATCACTGTAGACAAGGCATCAAGGGGGAAAGTAGGCACCCAGCCAGATAGGCAGCTCTTGCATTAGCAGCACAATCCCTTCCTCCCAGAATCTGGGGAAAGAAAATCAGGTGGGCAAAGCTTCCACTCAAGATGTAGGATACGTTTTTGGCCCTCGCCTCCGAACTCCAGGTATAAAACGAGAAAGATAAATACCTTGATTTGGCTTACGACGTTGAAAATGGTACGGTTTTTTGTTTTTGTTCTTTTTTTTTTTTTTTTTTTTTAACAATCTGGTTTCTATTTAAACCATTACTGAGGAAACAGCAAGGTCTAAAAGTTTATACGTCCCCACGGCCTTGCAGCTTTATTCTAAAGGAGGCCACTTGCGATGAGGAGTGTTTTACAGCGTATTTTTTTTCAGAAGACAGATCTGGGGTACAGCGGCATCTGACCATTTACATGTCAAATGCGTAAATGCTTTGGAAGCCTCCAAGGAAAAGTCCCTCACACACCTGGCAAGCCGGAACCTGATCTCTCCTTCTTCCTCCCTGCTTCACATCGCACTGACATGGCGCACAGGGGGAGGCTCAGAAAGGAAGAAAACAAAACCTACTGGTTGGGAATTTAGAGTGCATAGGAAGCTCATTCAAGCAACAATCACCAGAGCCAGCAAGATCATTCACCTATTTCCAAGAGCCATCGTTGGGCTTTTTCAAAGGACATAAGTATGCAACTCGCGTTCACAATGTAGCATTTGGTCAGAAGCATTTCATCATATCAACCAAATTTTTTTTGTACTCAGAAGTTACACACGAATGATAGTTGACTTTTCTTCAAAGCCATTCAACCTGAAAGATTTCCAAGCATGTCACACGTCACATTTAGCTACTCTTGCTATGAAGGGCTTTCAGCCAACTGGCCCACGTTCATTGCCTAGAGAAGCAGAGGAAGAGAAATGTTTAGCAAATAGGTAAGCTCCTGAAATAAATTGTATTATGCTGTTCTGAACACACTACACTAGTTTCCTCATTTAGATTATCAGAACAGTATGACCCTTCACCCAAATGCATCTTAAAGATGTATTAGCTCTACCGTTAAGCAAATCACCATTTCCACATGTCAGAATCCAATTCATTATTTAGCACCTAGCCCATCTCCATGAAGCTTTTTTCTGCTCTCCTTCCCCCACCTGGTTTCTGCTTTGTCTCTGCCTGTCTTGTAGACGTGTCTTGGGCTTCTCACTATGATGGTTACCAGCTTGCTTGTCTTACTTGTGTTCCTGGAATTGTAAGGAAATGAGTAATGTAGAAGAGCTCTGTTCACCTTGCTTCAAGTAGATTCTATTTGTTGACTCCAGTTGATTTACAAAATAGCCTAATCACCATCTGATATCATCCTTATGAGGTCCCGACCAAAAGTACACACACACACTTTATTTTTTTACGGTGAATTTTCTTCAAGTTGCAGATAACCTTCAGATCATGCATATATCCTAGTCATTTTTCCTTTGCTCCTTGGCAATAGATCTTGAAACATTGAAGTTCAGACATATAATTAGATATCTCTTGGGGCACCTGGATGGCTCAGTCGGTTAGGCGTCCGACTTTAGCTCAGGTCATTATCTCGTGGTTCCTGAGTTCAAGCCTTGAGTCAGGCTCTGTGCTGACAGCTCAGAGCCTGGAGCCTGCTTGGGATTCTGTGTCTCCTTCTCTCTCTGCCCCTCCCCCACTCACAATCTGTCTCTCTCTCTCTCTCTCTCTCTCTCTCAAAAATAAACATTAAAAAAATATTTTTTTTTAACTAGATGTTTCTTTCCCTCCAGTTTCTTCACACGAACACTGACAGAGTTAACACTGAAAAGACATTCATAACCTCAGACTTTAGAGTCATACATGTCTTTTAGATTCCTGGGCCTTTCATGCTTTCTGGAAAAAAACCAGGCTGTGAATAAATGAAAGAATTGTTTAAAACAAAGAAACAAGTATGTCTTTATTTGAGCTTTTAAAAATCACTCAAGAAATAGACATTTAGTTATTTAATATAAGACAGGTTGGGTGCTATGGATACAAATGAATATTACTATATGGATATCATCATATGGCGAGTACAGCTTTTCTCAACATTTCTGCCATCTTTGTTGAACATATGTCCATCATGGTGTCTTTCATTCTAGGTATATTGGCATTAAAAAATAAGTACAGGCAAACTGAAATCAAAGAGCATTTTGTAAATTTTTTTAATGTCTTGAAATATTTTGATCCTCTGTACACAGCTTGTGTTTACATGACAATAAACAGGCCTTTTATCAGGAAAGAAACTAACCAGAACATATGCTTACAGATCATAATATTTTGACCAAAAAAAATGGTTCTACCTTTTTCATCTTACTTTTTTTTTTTTTTTTTTTTTTTTCATATTGAAGGGAGTTTTCCAAATGAAGGGTTTCAGATAGGTTGTCTCCAGGTCAGTTCACCACAAGGCTTTGGTTAGACCTTGATGGACCCATCCTACCTCACTTACCTTTAGCCTCCTACTCTCACTGTGTGCCTCACACAACAGATATGTTCCCTTGAGCTTGGATTTTTATGAAAATTGAATAGGCTGGGGCACTAACAGTTAAAAGAATTTGATAGAGATCCTTTTGAAAACCAAAAAAGTTCTCTTATTTTCAAGAGACAGGCAGACAGAGCAGGAGCAGGGGAGGAGCAGAAAGAGAGGGAGACACAGAATCCAAAGCAGGCTCCAGACCCTGAGCTGTCAACACAGAGTCCAACCCAGGGCTCGAACTCACCAGCTGCCAGATCATGACCTGAGCCGTAGTCGGATGCTTAACTGACTGAGCCATCCAGGTGCCCCAAAAAAGTTCTTTTAATATATATCAGTATTTCTCCTTAATTACAGTAACTTTTGTGTAATTATGGTCAGTTACTGCATCTGCTTGAATCCGCATCTCTCTGCAGAATAGTTAAGATGGGGAGCTGTTCAAAGCTAAACTATACTTTTCAAAACATGACCGATGTCATGCATAGAAACAAACTTACCAAGACCTGAAATTGATATCATAGCTGACTTACCTGAGTATATAAAAAATATTGACCCTTTGATTGGTATCTTTTTTTTCACTGTGTCAATATTTCTACAAAAATTTTAAGTTCCTAAAGAAAGTATAGCCTTGAAATAGAATCATCAGGTCAACTTAACAGACAAAGGGAAATAAGCATTTGTAGGAATCCATAATAGCTGAAGCTACAGTCAATTAAAAAATAGCATTTTGGAATCCTGGCAAAAACAAAACAAAGCCAAGACCAACCCTGCCATTACTGTAACAGTGTTATTTTTCAAGTATGCCTTTTATGTATGCATTTACTTGTTTTCATTTGGACCTAAATAAGAGACATCTTAACATGTTTAGGTTTGGACTCCGGAAATGTTGCCCTAAGATCCCTGGTCCAGTTTCCGCAACGGCTACAATTTGTAAAACCTATAGTGGGAATAAAATGTGATTCTCTTGGGCTTCATTCAGTCTGAAGAATTGTTTTAGCAGAAATTTTATATGCAAGACTAAATGCTGATCAACAGAGCATAATATTGTATTCTGAAGTGTGCTAGCTAAAGCAAAATTAATTTTTTTTTTCTTCTTTCCTTCTCCTGAAATCTTCTGCCATAGAGACTGCATTTGCCTCC